ATGTGTTTTTTTTCTGTCATGATCCACACCTCATGACCACATGTTAGGGATGGAACATAGACAGACCAGTAAATCGAGAGCTTTGCCTTTCAGCTCAGCTCTTTCTTCACCACGGCTGACTGAGGCAATGAGGCTCCAAACTGTTGATCCTTTTCTCGCTCCATCCTACCCTCACTCGTGAACAAGACACCCAGATACTTAAACTCCTCTACTTGAGGCAAAGACTGCCCCTGACCTGGAGGAGGAATTCCCCCCTTTTCAGAAACCATGGCCTCAGACGTGGAGTAACTGACTCTCAGTCCAGCTGCTTCACACTCTGCTGCAAACTGCCCCAGTGCACGCTTAAGTTCTTGGTCTAAAGGCGCCAATAAAACCACATCATACTCATACAGCAGATAAAAGACCCTGTGGTTCCAAAACCAGACACCCTCCTCTCCACGACTGCGCCTTCAGATCCTGTCCATGAAAACCACAAACAGTATTTGAGACTAGGGACAGCCCTGGCGGACTCCAACCCGTGCTGAGACAAACTTGACTTTGTGCCAAGAATGTGGACGCAGCTCCTGCTTCAGTTGTACACAGACTAAATAGCCCTTAAAGCAACCCAGGCACAACGTAAACACTGATCTTGTGGACAGTTGTCATCTGTCAGGATGGCGCAGTTGGTGAGCTCTATGTGTTGTTGGAGAGAACAGCTGCTGTGCTTCTCCTCAGTGGGACTGTTGTGGCAGATTGTCCAGCTCAGTGGTTCCCAACCGTGGTCCTCGAGGAAAACTATCCTGCATGTTGTAGATGTGTCCCTGCTTTGACACATCTGTGTCAGTGAGTGATTAACAGGCTTCTGAAGAATCTGAAGACCTGCTGAGGAGCAGGAAAACAACTAAAACATGTAGGATAGTGTTTCTCAAGGACCAGGGATGGGAAGCACAGCTCTAGGTGACACTGAGATAGAATCATCAATAAAGCTTTTAACAAGTTCCAGCCATCACAGATAATGTACACACTGCTGGTATCTGCTGAATTAAAAGTCATTGTCATCAGACTATTTTAGGTTCATTTTCTACCAGCTAGATCTCCACATAATAATGGTTGAGTTTGATTCACATCCAGTTATCATGTTGTCCTAATTAGTCTTTAATTGTAACTTTTTTAAGTGTAGCTCAGATTTTATTTCTAATCAAGTGTAATACTTACCTACCTCATGTTTATGTCATGCCTTGTAGGAAGCGCTGCAGAGCTACAGTGCAGTAAATGTAGAGCACTCAGAGTGGTGCAATTGCAAATTAAATGAAACTCCAAATGCTGAATCATCATGATTACAAGATCAGATCAAGTGGAAAACAAAGTTGACAGTACAGGCACACTGTTGGTCCCATGTCTCACTCAGACCTTATACAAACAGTGATTTGGTGCAGATTGGAGTCATACAGCTGTTGTATTGTCGCCTGTGGCAAATCAGCTTGCAGCTGCTGTAACTGGACCTCGAGAGCCGGCAGACTGACTCTGGGTCAGAGATGATGTTTCAGCTGATCCCACCCATATTGGGTTGGGGATAAATGAGGAGACCTGGCTTTCCATCACAGGACTTTAACATGACATAAGTGGTTCATAGATATCCATATTATATGTAGAGGGGGAATGTTTTGTTGAAGGACTCCATGGTGCTGTCTTGGGAGAGGTAAGAAAACCAGATGTTCAATGTAACTGAAGCAGTGCTGTCCCCTTTGCACCATCATATGCACATGATGGCCACCATCATAATGCAGAACTGAGATTACAGCAATCACTGAACACAATGACAACACTTGTCATCAGTCCATGTTTCCTTGTTTTGGGACCACTCTAAACGCAGTCGTCTCTGCACTGGTGTTAATGGCATCCTACACACACAACCCCTGGCAAAATTATGGAATCACCGGCCTCAGAGGATGTTCATTCAATTGTTTAATTTTGTAGAAAMAAAGCAGATCACAGACATGACACAAAACTGAAGTAATTTCAGATGGTAACTTGTTGGCTTTAAGAAACACTAAAAGAAATCAAGAAAAAATGTGGTAGTCATTAACGGTAACTTTTTAGACCAAGCAGAAGGGAAAAAACATGGAATCACTCAATTCTGTGGAAAAAATTATGGAATCACCCTGTAAATTTTCTTTCCCAAAACTAACACCTGCATCATATTAGATCTGCTCGTTAGTCCTCATCTAAAAAGAAGTGATGACACCTTGGAGAGCTGTTGCACCAAGTGGACTGACATGAATCACGGCTCCAACACGAGAGATGTCAACTGAAACAAAAGAGAGGATTATCAAACTCTTAAAAGAGGGTAAATAATCACGTGATGTTGCAAAAGATGTTGGTTGTTCACAGTCAGCTGTGTCTAAAATCTGGACCAAATACAAACAACATGGGAAGGTTGTTAAAGGCAGACATACTGGTAGACCAAGGAAGACATCAAAACATCAAGACAGAAAACTTGAAGCAATATGTCTCCCAAACAGAAAATGCACAACAAAACAAATGAGGAACGAATGGGAGGAAACTGGAGTCAACGTCTGTGACCAAACTCTGAGAAATCACCTAAAAGAATTGGGATTTACATACAGAAGCTAAACGAAAGCATTCATTAACATCTAAACAGAAAAAAACAAGGTTACAATGGGCTAAGGAAAAGCATTCTGTGGATGACTGGATGAAAGTTATCGTCAGTGATGTGATCTGCATTGGACAAGATGATGCTGGAACTTTTGTTTGATGCCATTCCAGTGAGATTTATAGAGATGACTGCCTGGAAAGAACATGCAAATTTCCACAGTCCTTGATGATATGGGGCTGCATTCAGGAAAAGGCACTGGGGAGATGACTGTCATTACATCTTCAATAAATGCACAAGTTTACGTTGATGTTTTGGACACTTTTCTTATCCCATCAACTGAAAGGATGTTTGGGGATGATGAAATCATTTTTCAAGATGATAATGCATTGTGCCATAGGGCAAAAACTGTGAAAACATTTCTTGAAAAAATACACAAAATGTCAATGTCATGGACTGCAAATAGTCTGGATCTCAGTCCAATTAAAAATCTTTGGTGGAAGTTGAAGAAAATGGTCCTTGACAAGGCTCCGACCTGCAAAGCTGATCTGGTAACCACGATCAGAGAAAGTTGGAGCCAGATTGATGAAGAGTCCTGTTTGTTACTCATCAAGTGTTTCTTAAAGCCAGAAAGTTGCCATTTGAAATGACTTTAGTTTTGTGTCATGTCTGTGATCTGCTTTTTTTTCTAAAAAAATTAAACAACTGAATCTCCGAGGCCGGTGATTCCATAATTTTTGCCAGGGGTTGTAGGATGGGAGACGTAGTGCAGTAGATTCCAGTTGTGAAGACATGGTGCAGGATGACACTGGGTGTTATAAAGAGTCTACATTCTGTGTCTGAATGGTTGGTACCAACGTCATGTGTTTCTGTTCTTGACATGCAATACAACAATCCACTTTTGGTAGTGGGTGTTGTGTTGGTGTCCCAGGCAATGTCTGCAGGCGCCCACACATTCCCATTGTTGTCAAGATCAGGCCACAGTGGTGTTGGTAGACCTCACATGCTGGTCGGTCGCATCATACAACCACCTGGACTCATGAAAACCCACAGTATGTCCTTATTCTTATCAAGTATTGGTAATGTTGTCTAATGCCTCTACATCTATGTTGACTCATGGCTTTGCTTGAAGCTTTGTAAACTTCCTGACTGCACCACTGCTCCGCTCGGAATGGAGAAGGGGGTCTCTGCAGTAAATAAGTGGGAGTTTCTTGGTGTGTGGGAGAAGTTTGTTAAAGACGTGATTGGTCGGATTGACTATTTTGGGTGGGTTTTTCAGTCGAAACAGCTCAGAAACACCATTACAAATACTAATATTAGTCATAACTCGAGACAAGGAGGTGCTAGCTGCACAAAATGTGTATGTTGTACATGTGGAAAGATGTGGAACAATTCGGCTCACTCAAATATGATCTAACCTGCCTGGAAAAAAAGATCACCATTTTTTATATGATTAGTTTCAGGCATAAATAGGAGTTATTAAGTCTCTACAGCATTCAGATGTGTGTTTACAACTTGTGCTTTCTGGTTCTGTTTCTAGGTATAGCAGCATCATTTATACCTACTCATTTCTGCTTATAACTCAGGAATCACTAAAGTAAAGTTTAGAAGCATTGCCTCAAAATAATTCTCTCTCAGAAGTGTCTTGTCTGTGGAAGGATTGTCTAGACATTTTCTATTGTAGAACTCTTTTGTCCTTGTCTTGTAACATTGATTCTGTTGACCACTTCTGTAAGTATGGCTTTACTGTGTACCCTAATTGTGTGGGACAGTGTGAGGACTAAATATAGTGGGATAGTACAATGATGTGGCGGTTAGCATTGTCATCTCACAGCAAGAATGCTGCAGCTTTGAAATAGCACATGTACAGTACATCTTTGTACTGCATGTTCTCAGACACAGTTAGACCTGTACCTGAAGTTTTCTCCAGGTATTAGTTTCCTCCAAAAGTAAAAAAAAGGAAAATTAGGAGCGAGTATAGGCATAATTGTCTTTTAGCTCTGTTTCTCAGATTAATTGTTCACCAATAGGTCATTATTTTTAAATGTATTAATTAAAATTATCCTTTAATTGATAAACCAGCCAATGTTTTTCTTTTATTACTTTATGTCAAAGGTGGAGGGACAGCAATATTTTTGCTGTTTGTTTAGTTTGTGTGTTTGTCTGTGGTGTTAGCAAAATATCTCAAGAACTGTTGGATGGTTTTAATTAAACTTTATGGAAATAATCATTAGATGTAGCTGTACAGCTGTTAAACTTTTGAAATACGTAAGATGGAAAAAGCTCAGTTTAAGAAGGTTATGGAGAGTTAGAGGGGTTTAAAATGACCCATTGGCATTTCTGTGCACAAACTGAAAAACATGCACAAATACATTTGTTCACTTATCACCAGGTTTTTTGTTTGAAGTATATCTTTTATACATTTTTATGAGACGGATAAAGATGCACTTGTTTGTAGAAGTGACAGCTTTGAGCTTTATGCTTGTTTGCACACTGTAACTGATAAGTTTGATCTGTTTTCTGTCCTTACTAGCTGCCACCCGATGTCAGGGGAGTGCACATGCCAACCGGGTTGGTCTGGTCTCTATTGCAACGAAACGTGCACACCAGGATTTTATGGCGAGTCTTGCACCGAGGTGTGCCAGTGCCAGAACGGGGCCGACTGCCACAGTGTGACCGGGGAGTGTATTTGTGCTCCGGGCTTCATGGTAAACTCATGTCTTTAAAGTTATTAATTTATTACTCATTTATAAAAGTTCAATTTTTTCTGCGTTTTTCACTTTGTATTACTTTAGAGAAAAAAAACTGGAAGGAATTTTTTCCACTGCAATGAGTTGCTGCATGTAATCATTTAAGATTCCTTGAAAGTGGCATGAGGTAATCTATGGCTCTGTGTTAACATCTAGTGGCAGCAGTTTGAAAGTACAGAAGAAATGTCTAATTCTCCCTCCAACTTTTAACACTAGTTTTCTGCCTTTTTCCTTTTGATTTTCTACCTGGATTACTGAGCTGCATCAGGACAGTTTTCTGCTTGTTCACTAATTTCTTCAGTTGTAGACATGAGGCACTAAAATCAATGTAGTTTATCTATATCGCACTAATTCACAACCAAAGTGCTTTCATGGCTCTAGAAAAAAGAAAACAAGTCTAAATAATGAATCCATTTCAGATCTAGATAAAAGTCAAAATAGTCAGTTAATTTTTACAGTTCGTTATATAATGCCAATTAGTAGAAGTGATCTATCCAAGGAAGCCAGTAGAAGAATAACTCAGGAAACCTAAGCCTAGCTCTAGGATTTATCAAAAAGGAAGTAGACAGAGTGTCAGCCTCATGGACAGAAACTGGAAGTTGGTTCCACAAGAGCGGAGCTTGAAAACTGAAAGCTCTGCCTCCCATTCTACTTTTAGAAACTCCAGGAACCACAAGTAAACCTGCAGTCTGAGAGTGAAGTGCTCTGTTAGGAAAGTATGGAACAATAAGATGTTTAATATATGATGGAGCTTGGTTGTTAAGAGCTTTGTATGTTAGGAGTAATATTTTAAATTCTGAATTTGACGGAGTCAGTGGGGAGACGCTAAAACTGGAGAAACATGATCTCTCCTTCAGCTCTCATTAAAACTCTAGCCAGTGTTGTATAAAGTACCTCAAAGTGATGAGTAAAAGTACAAGTATCTTAAAAAATACTTTAGTAAAAGTTAAAGTCTTCTCTAAAAATATTACTTGAGTAAAAGTCTCAAGTATCTGATATTTTTGTACTTACAGTAAGTATCAAAAGTAAATTTCTGACACAAAATCTACTTAAGTATTAAAATTAAAAGTACTGAGTAAAACTGAGCTGTTAGATTTTCCAAAATGACATTTATTGGGAAGTGACTTCTCCAAAAAATATTTTTTTCTAACGGCGTGCAGCTGTGCTGGGTTGTATACAAGTTAATAGTGTCAGTATGGTATATATTTATACTTCTCATCCAACCACAATTAAATTCTCTCAATCCAGGAGACACACTGTATCAGGATAGTATTTTTTTAAGTAATAACAACTCAGAATAAAATAGGAGTAATGACTTTCTACTTCTTACCTTTTTAAAAAGTATAGTGAGTAGAAAATACAGATAATTGTGTAAAAATGTAATGAGTAAAAGTAAAAAGTACGCTGAAAAATAATTACTCAAGTAAAGTACAGATACCCCAAAATTTCTACTTAAGTACAGTAATAAAGTATTTGTTCTTAGTTACTTTACAACTCTGACTCTAGCAGCAGAATTTTGGATCAACTGACGACTTTTTAAATGATTTTTAAACATTTTGATCTTCAAGAATTACAATTACAGGCAAGTGTGACTCCAGACATATAGAAAAAAGCAAGCAGATTTAAGTGAGAACACAGCAGTCATTTCACAATTTAAAGATAAGATGAACATATACAGTAAGCTTTGAAGAAATTAGAATCAGTCTGTGCCTTGCTGAATGGAGAGTGACTGATAAATCACAAGGAACACAGAACATGACATTGTTCACACATCCAGTTAAATGCCACTTTGTGTCTTCCTCAGACTTTTACGATGCAAACATCAGGGTAAATTCATGTACTGAGGGGTGAGCTTAGTTAAACTCATTGGGTCGAATGGAAATATAAAGTAAGCTCAAGAAAAACATTGTTTCTGTGTTGATGTTCTCAGGGACCCAGGTGTTCAGTCCAATGCCCAGCAGGGACACATGGAGTGAACTGCTCCTCTAGCTGTAAATGTAAAAACAGAGCCCAGTGCTCACCTGTTGATGGATCCTGTTCCTGTAAACCAGGTGAGTGGAAGGGGGCGGGGGTGGGGAATAATGTGGGTGTTAAAAATGAAGAAAAGGACTGAAACAAAGAACAGAGAAGACATAACACTCTGTTATCAGTGTCTCTTATTTATTGTACAACCTCAATGCCAATGAAGTTGGGACATTATGTAAAGAAACAAAAACAGAATACAGTGATTTGCAAAATCTTTTCAACCTACAGTATATTCAATTGAATACACTACAAAAACAAGATATTTCACGTTCAAACTGAAAAGCTTTATTGTTTTTTTTTTGTTTTTTTTTTTTTTGCAAATATTCAGTCCTTTTGAATCAGATGCCTGCAACACGTTCCAAAACAGCTGGTCATCATTGTGTTCTACTTTTATTTATGTTTCACACAACTTCATTGGAGTTGGGGTTGTATGTTTTTTTCCCAGTCAACTTAAAAAACTCTGAAAAAGATTAATATTGATTTTCTTACATTTTAAGCTCAATAAAGAATTGACTTTATGGGTTGACTTAAGTCAAATAGCAGTTGTCTTTAACATGTGAGGGTTGGATTAAACTCTGTCCATGAGATGGTTTGCTAAAAGACAAACAGAGTTAACTCAAACAATTTATGTCAAAGTTTTAAGCAAGGATGTTGAGCAGTGTACTGTATATCGAGGTATGTGTTGTGAGATCATTGCTCAGCTACTACCGCACCAAATTTTAGCTCAAGAAATGTAAAATTGACAGTTTTAGACCTTTTGTTTTCAAAAGTCATTTGGCTGTGGTATATAGTTTGAAAAGAGTTGACTCAGTTACATAATGTTGGTAGCTACTGGTAATCAAGAAAATGAAATATAATATTTGTTTGATTTTTTTTTCTCATCAGGTTGGCATGGTGTAGACTGCTCCATCAACTGTCCCAGTGGCACATGGGGTCTGGGCTGTAACCTCACCTGTAACTGTGCTAACGGAGGGGCGTGTAGTGCCTTGGATGGTCAGTGCACTTGTGCTGCAGGTTGGAGAGGGGAAAGGTGTGAAGTTGACTGTCAGGTGAGAGGATATATAAATACTCCGATGATGTTTTTTTAATGGTAAAAACTTTTGCAAAAGTCATGATAGTGACAGTAAATGAATCAAGTGTGATAAAGACATGGTCCCAGCTCAACAGTTACCCTTTGTGGCTAATCTTGTATTGTAGTACAGAATGGTTATGGTGGTTAGTGTTAGAATACAATAAAATACAAATTGTATAAATACAGTATTCAGTAGCTTAGTCAGCTGGAGAGGAGAGCTCACATGATGACAAAACCCTGAATTAGATTAATAAATGGTAACCTTTTTTAAGCACCTGCATTCTAAAGCATTAATAAAATCGTCTGAATTTTAACTTTGGAAAATTACATTTTATTGTTATTATTATTGTGTATATATGTCTGTGCGTATATATCTGTAGTATGAATGAATGTATGTTTGTATGTATGTATATATCTATATATATATGTATGGGTATATATATTTGTATGCATGCTTTACAGAGAAATTAAAATTAATTTTATTTTTATATGGATATGTATTTTGTTGCTGTATTTTCTTATTTCCGCTTATTTTCAGGTGAGCAGATGGATGTTGGGTGTGTGGCCTTGTGTTTTTGTTTTTTTGTGTATTTTTAATATATTTTCTAATCGCTCTTTAAAAAAACATATTAAAATAATCTTGTTCTGGGTACTTCTAGTTGAATTGTGACTAATGACCTTCAAAACCCAAAAAAGTAAATGTTATATAAGGGGATGTTTTAAGCAGTTGGTGTTTGTGATGGTTCAGGATGGGACCTACGGTCTGGAGTGTAAGGAGCGCTGTGACTGCAGTCATGCTGACGGGTGTCACCACTCCACGGGTCACTGCCGCTGTCTGGCTGGATGGACTGGTAAGTCCAAACACTAAGGTCCTTTCAACTGATTGTATGAACACAATTCTGCTCGATTTGAAGTTTCAAAGTTCCAGTTCAGTGTTTTACGCATCAAAATGTGGATGAAAATATAAAAAGTTTATAGATGAACAAAAGCACTATGTAGTAGTAGTAGTAGTAGTAGTAGTAGTAGTAGTAGTAGTAGTAGTAGTAGTAGTAGTAGTTTATTCAATTCATTTGTAATACAAAATTAACAAAGTTCAAAAAACAAACAATCAAATGAAATCAAATGAAATG